AAAGTGATCAGAAGGCGATTGAGTTAGTATGCGAATCATAATGGGGAGTGTGATTGTCAGTTCACATGTATGTGTAACAATCGATCTTTGTTTGCCGACGATTATGTCAAGAATTCGTTGAAAGCAACTGACAAATGTTCTGTCGATTTATAATTTGAGAAGTCACCAACTGATCAGATTGGTGTTGTGTTTGTTGGGATTTCGAAACACATGGCAAACAGAATATTGAGTAGATTTCATTTCTCTATTTACTGAGATAAACGAAGAGTTGAAAAAGCCGACACACTGTGATCAAAGTATTTCTAGAGAAATCGGAGTGGAACGTGGTTTGGGTGATATATTTTTAGGCCTAGCTGCTATAGGTAAAAAATAAATTTATTCTTAATGAGAACAAAATTGTCGGCTTTTTTTCTATTAGTTTTATTTTAACGTATGGAGAACTATAAAATTCCCTCCGTAGCTCTTTCGTTTTACAGTACTGTCATTTATCTGTTTCTTCTCCTTGTCGTGTGTTTTAACCTTTGTTCAGGTCTCGTTTAACCACACCTTTTGTCCTTCATTCTTCCTTTTGTGGGCTTTTATTATGTGGTTTTGAATAATGACTTATCTTTTGTTACCTAATTTTCTATTGCGTGTTGATACATTATTGACAGTGTGGTCGTATTTTAAAAAGCTCAGGGTCACTGCGTTGTTTAGTGTGTGACTGTTATTTATTCTCAGGTATTGAACTCACAATATTTAGTGTGTTTCTTTAGCTGTTTAGCGCGCCACTTTGCGTTAAAGAAACGTTTGACAGTATAGCACAGGCTGCTTATTCGAGTAAAAATGCATGGCATGAAAGCCCATCAATATGCACAAATGTCGCCTGATGTTGAACAGTCTGGCGATCAACACTAAGGTGAAGAATAACTAGCACGCATCAACCAGTTGCACGCCTTGAATAGGCGGATCCTACACAATGCCACTTGATTGCGGAACTCTGGATTAGGTAAAAGGTTTTACATAACTAAACATCATCATTTATAATACAGGAGGATGTGGTGTTTATTTAAATGCACAGACTGGAAAGGCGATGGGATGATTCTTACCATATATAGAATATATGGAACTCTAAACAACTGTCAGCCAACGTCAAGGTCGAAACAGTTATGCTGTGAAGTGCTGGGACGTGAGGAACTTCCATAGTGATCAACGGAAGGGTACAGGTATTCATAAACAACTGTCCACCCAAGATACCCCAGATCCATTGGTCAGACCTCATCAGTAATAATTGACTATTGAAAAAGTAATCCAAGTCGCAGTTGAGAAGGAAATCAGGAAACAACCCGTGAATTGTAAGGAACATGCATTGAGAAAACCATCAGACTGCATCACGAAGCAAACTCTAACATGGAATCCTCAAGGTAGGCGAAAATCCATATACAACTGAGAGTTGGAGGTAGACAGCAAAGGTGTAGATATTGCTCGGCAACAACTGGAGAACTAGGCACAGTAATGTTTAGCACCTATTGAAGGTTGTTGTCATTAGATAATCGAATGGACTGGATAAGAGAATCAATCGAATGATCCGATCGACTAAACAACCAATCACAAATTCTTCGGCGCTATCACAATAAACGCTCTGACTAGCAACTAGGTCATTGTAAAATGATTGACAGTGTACAGCCGTCAAGCTGAAAATCACCTCACTCCTGTTTCTTACAGTTCAACAGAACAATATTTTGCATCCACATTGAGCTTATGAAGGCTAAAGCGGTGGATTTCAGCACAGCCAAATAACGTCAGTATTATCAGTAATGCAACACATTTTGGACGATCGATTAGCATTTTATCGTTGATAACCAGTGCCATAAGTAAGCTACAACAAATATGTAAATACCTGGCGCCCGGTTCCTTGAGACTGCAATATGTCCTGAATGCCGGAGGAGTTTTGCAAGGGTTCAGTGTATTTTCACCGACAAATAATATTTTTGCTAAAAATTCATTCCAAAAATTGTCTCCTATTGCGAAAAAACAGTGAACACTGGGTAATAAACTAAGACGAAACCCCAGCTACTTATTATTATAAATGAAACAAAAAAGAAAAATAACCTACCGTACATCAAGCTCAGGAAAGTTTTTTTGAGTCAATAATTGCACTGGTCTTGTAACTGGATACAGTAAACGTTTGAAAAATGCCAATCACGTAAAGATAATATTTATTGTTCGTAAAGCGTGCGGTAATTAAATCTAGAGCTACTAACACCACAAACAATAATATGCCTATCTAAGTAAAGAACTATGACATAAAAGCGTTTCGATAGGCACTTGCTTCTAAGAAGTAGAGATGTCTGCAGATATAGTTCTCCATCCACATATCGTTTTGAAGTTTGAATATCCCCGAAACACGATCTCTATTACAAACCGACTGTGATTTATTGACAATCCTTGCCGTCCGGCTGCCCATTCCCTGAACTATAATTCCCGTTGATGATCGGTTGTCTTTTTATTTGTGTAACTGTACTTATGACCATGTTTTGTTTGCTGAGTGAGTCCAATGTACTAGAGATTTGTAGAGTTTACCAAGACTGTCAACAGTTCTTGGATGTTCTGCACAAAGATATTGAAACAAGAAGCTATCAATACGTTTATCGGGTTCTTCTAGATTACATGAGCTCACTGACAGGATAGCACTCCTTGAATATCGAAAGAAATTTCAGTTTGAACAGTTAGACTGGAGATGTCGCGAGGCTGTAAGTATATGAAATAACACACAATCACTTACATCAGGTGGTTTTCAAGATGTAAACATCGTGATAGAAAATTTGCATGATGCATGCTTTTAGTAACCTTCTGATAAATGATGAAATAACAAGCACTCTAATCTGAAATCGATCTCTCGTCGATTGCAGAGGATGACAGAGGAAGTGACTTAGTTGATTAGTAAGTAAATCTCAATGCCTAGTGATCAGTTACAATATGAATTTTTGCACCAAACAAGTGTTTGTGCAGTCTTTTTACTGCTAATTGCTTGATCGTCTCAAAACAAAGATGGGAAGTTCCCCACTGTATACCGGAACCACACTGAAATTCAAAAGATATGCGTCTCTAGTAAAGATAGACTTTTCAGTCAGTGAACGCGGTCTGAGAAGAATCTCTCTGTTGAAAAATCGTTAACTCAGGCTAAATGCGTCCTTCAGAAACATTGGACGTTATACAGCTGATTGAATTACTTTTTTCTTGTTATCTTTTATTTAACCCGTCAACCAGAAAAATTTATTCAATATGCTATTTCACGTCCAATATTTCTGAAGACCGCATTTTGGCTAGGTAGAAAGTAATATATTTAATTTGTAGTCATCGTTACCAAGGTTTGACTTGATAATTTCGAATAAATTGAGTGTTCGGTGTATTTTTATAAATAAATAAATAATATATTTGTAATATCCACTTCTGAAGATGTGGCTTACAACTTACTGACTTACTTACTTAGGTAAGTCTAATCAAATATACTTTGGTTCTCTGGCTCCGAATCTAGATGAAATGCTGGAATTTCGGTTGGTGCAGTGCTGCTGCCCGTTGTCACGTAATCTAAAACAAAGATCATAGTGAGTAGCTTATTTGATGACTTTCGTCTAGGTTTCTGAGTGAAACAGATCCCGAAACAGTCCGCTATGTCGTTTGTCTTGCCGTGATCTTCCTCTGCCATTTGGGAAAAATTATCTTCCGTAGTTAGGTTGAGAATCCAATGATGCCTTCTCTTTCTGTGATTGATATGCAAAAACAGTCTCTTAGGCTGTGTGATCACACATTGTGTCGAATGCTTTTCATATTTTCGTTGCGCTGCTCGAATTTGGCTTATACGCTTATCTCAGACCGACCTGCAGTGTTCCGTCGTATTTTGTTTGTTGAGGTTGGTGGCGATGTTTCAACGTTTCATCTTTTTTCCAACCGAAAGTCGAATATCACTGTTTATTCAGATATGGCTGTTCTTCTGTTTTGGGATTGTGGAGAGTATAAATGAATACTTGATTGTATAACCACTGGGAATGAGTCCATATCTCTCCTATCAATGCGTCAGAATCAATTTTCTAATTTTCCGTCTAGTCAGTAGAGTTGATCACCTTCGCATGTCCTTTCATACGTTAGGATGTGCCGGGGCATCTGCTCGATAAACTAGATCAGCCATGAATTCGCATTAGATAGCCAAATGATTAATTCTCGCTACAGGTGGAGGGAACTTTATTTGACTTGAAGCATTACATTTCGTGAATGCTAACTCTGAGACAGATGAAGAGTATGACTGGTTATATCTGATGACATCTCTAACGCAGCAGAATAAACTTTAAGAGGTCATGGCTTCTAACATTTTGTTTTCGAAAAGTGAAACTTCTCAGTTTCTCTAGTATGAAGAAAGTGCAATAAGCCATCAATTGTAAGGCCTCCTAACCTGTTTTATCAGGGTCTGAGTTTATTTTTAAAAAATTTATCCATTACTCATTCTGAACGATGGCATCCTATAAATAAACCAGCGTCTTACCCTTCGAAATTTCAGCCGGCTACCTTCCAGTTCATAGGTCTCTGAATCCTGTGTCTTCGCCTTAACAGATTGCATTGTTAAAGTACTATTTTTATGAACAGGACAACCCTGCCACCAATACCGTTTGGTATTTCATCTCTACAATGTCGGAAACCAAGCAATTAAATTTCACTATCATACAATTCTGACGTTAACTCATTTTATGAAATGCCAATGACATCAAGGTTTTCTGAATCTACCACTTTTTTGAACACTTTCATTTTATTTGGTAGACTGCAAACATTCCTATATCATACTTTTAATCCTGCGAAGTGGTTTCCCATATCATCCAGAGTGATTTGGAGATCATTTTATTCCAGACTTTAACACTGTGGACCTGAATCTCCTGAAGATTCACCAATATCTTCAGACCAATAACTTCTCATAAATTTTCACATTAGCTTAAATTCGTATGTAGTTAAAGTACGTTAACGTTTATTGAGTGATACAGGGAGGAAAGGCGGCTAGCTCGAGTAAATAGGCGGAGCGCGTTTTTTCAGCAGGTGTTGTTATGCCTGGGTAATTTATCGTAATGTTTATTATAAATGTCAGTCATATCAAAAATACGGCCCTACTGTCTATCTTTTGGAACTGGATTTTATATAGGTAAGAGTACTTGTTATGAAAAATCATTCCTGTTTAAGTTTCAAGAATCATTTCCGAATGAAAGGAAACAACGATTAGCATCTCTCCTATCTATTGCTCCTAATAAAAACCCTCACATACATTCTTTTTGTAAGATTTCGCGTTCTGTAATAGTAATCTGCCATGATATTTCTAGGGCTGACAGTGGACTGTATCAATAATGAAAGGTTCACTCACAAAATAAAACTACTATTATCAGTCTCAGTGACTTCTAGCCAATGTGAACTAAAAGTACAAAGAATGTACCTGATAAAGTTGGACTATTATTATGATTTGCTGGTGTATGTCGTAATCGCTGTTAGACCGTGATGTACATATCCAAGCACCTTATTGCCTATCGATAATGAAATAGATGACCTCAATGTAGGATTGTTGCCCATTGATTGTAACATAAACGATCTAACAGACAAAGACATCTTGACGCATTTTACTGAATGAAGTGTCAGTAGATACTTAATTCTTTAGTTACGACTGTGATTCCGATTTAGAGTTAGTGCTACGGTTTAGGAATAGAATGTCAAGTTAAGGATTCATGTCTATAGCTAGGATTGAGGTTTAGGATTTAAGGAGTGCTGCAGTTTGCAATTAGTCTATATTTGCCGTAAATACTAACTAACTTCAAGTCCTAAAGTATATTCTAACAGTAACTTCAGGCCATTAATTCTGTATACCGATCCTATCCTAATTCGTAAAATCTGCATCAAAATGCTAAACTTTAAAACCTAATCCTAACCCTGGGTCTCAATCGTGAACTGCAATACTAAACCAAATTCTTAGTTTTAGCAGTATAAATCATTTGTTTATATCCGTTGCAATCTGATTGGCTGAGTAGATTGAACTTATCAGTAATATTTACTGAGTCGCTCGAGCACATCCTTACAGTTTTCGAGAACAGGAACACGGCTTATTTTCCAAAAAAATTCCGTCTCAAAAATCTTGTTGTTTATTCTTTCTTCTCTAAGTTCTCAATAATATTAAACTGTGATTACTCGCAAATCAAAATAACACCTCTCAATATGTACGTACTAATCTTTGCGATAAATCACATTTAATATTCAACTGAGTTGATGTTACTTGTGTTTATAAACGCTTATAACAGACGAAATATTGATCCACAACTCAGTATTTAAAAGTCAAGTATTTATCTAACAAGTGACAAGCAGCTCGTCCTTGATAAATAACTGCATAACCACTGCTTTAGTTGTGGATCCAGAAAAGAAAACGGTTAACGTCAGCGCTATTTATTGGTGTCAGCCTGGATTACTTCCATTTCTAGAACTTAAAAGGTCTGCCATTCGGCATTCAAGTGGGCTTCATCAAGGGAATTAAACAGTCAGTTGGAATTACCGCTTTCTGAGTTTATATCTGATTAAGGTGCTACTTAGGAATGATCCTAGATAGTGACTAAATTATTTAAATACCTTTTTTGAGTGTTCTATCAAGAGTTCGAACCTTTCTCCCTCTTAACTCATACTGAAGAGCTGACTTGCCAGTTTTTAGGCGGAAACGTGTGCCACACAAACAACTTTATAAGCTTGTACTTGATTGACAAGTCGTATAAAATTTGAAGCGGATAGTAATTTCATGCTCATTCTTATCTTGTTTCAAGATGAATATAATGAGGATCTTAGGTATAATTTTTAATTCGAGAAACACATGTAGTTCTAAGTAAAGAAAATTGTCTAAATCATATTAGTCGTGCAACATCACAAGCTGGCAACCTAAAAATCGTTAATCACCAGATTAAAACCTAGTGATAATAGTACAAGTTCACCACTGGTCTTGAGTGTCACAAATTTTTGTTACTATAATATGGAGGGTACACAGCTGAGAAGTTTCAAGCGGTATCGAAATAGCCGTCCATTAATTTCTGGATAACACCATTTCTTTTTACTCACAGTGCGCTTTTCTTATTTATGCGAATTCTATGACTTTTTATTGTTTCTGTAGGAGATGTGTGACAAACCTTTCTTTTATAACCCCGATATCGATACGAAAATTGCCGGTTTATATGATCTACAACATACAATTGGACGAGGACATTATGCTGTTGTGAAACAAGCACGCCATGTATTTACTGGTGAGAAAGTTGCAGTGAAAGTAATCGACAAGACCAAACTAGACAATGTTTCACGAGATCATTTGTTTCAGGAAGTTGTATGCATGAAACTTGTTCAGCATCCAAATGTGGTTAGATTATATGAAGTTATTGACACGCCAACTAAATTGTATCTCGTTCTTGAGTTAGGTGACGGAGGAGACCTATATGATTACATAACAAGTCATGGCGATGGTCTAAGTGAAAAAGTTGCAAAACGGTATTTTCGCCAAATAGTAACTGCCATTGCTTATTGCCACAAGTTAAGAGTGGTTCATCGAGATCTAAAACCAGAGAATGTAGTTTTTTTCGAGAAACTGGGTTTGGTTAAGTTAACAGATTTTGGATTCAGTAATAAATTTATTCCTGGCACTAATTTAGACACAGCTTGCGGCTCGTTAGCTTACTCAGCTCCGGAGATATTGCTTGGTGACTCATACGATGCTCCAAAAGTGGATATTTGGTCCTTAGGTGTGATATTATATATGCTTGTCAGCGGAAATTTGCCTTTTCAAGAAACAAATGATAGTGAAACGTTAACGAAGATCATGGATTGTGATTATTCCATGCCTTCACATTTATCACCAGACTGTAAACGGCTTATTTCTCGTCTACTAATACGTGATCCACAAAAGCGTGCTCATCTTGATGATATCCTACAAGATGACTGGCTAAAGCTAGATGGTAATGACTTACCTATTGAGCTGTTTTCTGTCCCCTTGATATCTCGTGAACATCTTTCATTTGAAGACCATATGGAGATTCTATCCAAAATGGCTGAGGGTGAACTGGCGTCTGTTGATGAAATACAGTCTACTTTAGATCGTAATGAATACAACCACATAGCTGCTACATACTACTTACTTGCGGAGCGCAAACTGAAACGTAACTACATAGAAGAATATAAACGGTTAGCAAGCCAGTCTCAACTAATTGAAAAACGAAAACAAGAACAACAAAAATGTATCAACTGTGTGTTTGGACTATCTGAAAATGCAAAACAAGTGCAGAATGTTGAAAACAATATAACCCCTAAATCTTTGGTAAATAGTGTGATGGGTTCAAGTACTGCGACACCAACTTCACGCATTTTAAGTTCTTTAGGCTCATCAAATGTAGAGGATCGTGTCAGGCGTTTCAGTATGATTTTAGAAGATGAAGAAGAAGAGGAAGAAAGTAAAGGGTCTCCAATAGCATCTACTTCATTCGACAGGTATATTGCAAGTATAAATGAGTCAGCGAAAATGGTCAATGATTCAGATGCCTTACACCCCTGTTTCGCTGATACGTCTGAAGAGGCAATGCTAGAAGAAGAGGAAGAAGAACTTGCTACTGTTGCTGGTTTGGCATGCGTTCGTTCTGAACTTTTAACTGATCAAATGGTTAATCATGTATTAAGTATATCCGAATCAGAATTCACATCAAATGTCCATGGAAATGTGGTTTCAACTCGTCCTTGTTCTAGAACAAGTGGTTCTGCAGTTGGAGCATCTGATGGCGCTGAGTCAGATGTTTCTCTTAGTCCCTGGAATGCAAATGGGACGGGTTTTGTAAGTTCTTTGAATCGAGTTACATCCACCACTCGTTCTCTTCCACCTGTTGAAACTCGAAGAAAGAATACCTATAGACGAGGACTTATATCGCACCGTCCACTTACTACAGTGAAGAGCAGTCCGCAGCTTCTGAAACATTCTGCTGAAGAAGATTGGAACATTCATACCTCAATAGAAACCAATAATTCCCTCCACATGGATAAACGCAGAAAGAAATTAGGAGAATGTTTTATACAAAACCCGGCTTTCTATACTACAGCTGAAGATAGTTTAGGAATCCGATCTTTGCGTAGTTCGTATAACTTGTACCGTAGTATCAAATATGTCGACGATCAGTTGATTGGCCTGAGACCTACAAGTTTTTACACGACTGCAACCCAACAAACATATTCTGGAGCTCATAGTCCAGCGTGGACACGAAGGTTTTTGAATACACCTGCATCGTCGTCTCGTCCAGCAAGTATCGGGAGCTGGAATGCTGTTCTCAACATGAGTTTAGTGAGTGATCAGCGCCGCCCATCATTCTGTTCATCTCCTGTTGAGCCACAAATAGGCACCATCAATCGAAGAAAGGTTCTTTATTCAAATCACAGCCAAGGCCCATATGTTTTCAACAAGTGGATTAATCCCGACCGAAGATGCAGTGGACCTCCAGGTTTATTGTTAGCAGTCTCAGGATTGTATTATCCAGGTTCAGGTGTTACGTTACCCAGTCGCTCAGACTCAGATACCTCATTTCTAGAACAGCATGACACTAGTCATTTACCCCCTAACTTGGACCACTCTTTTTCTCCAGAAGAGCCTTCAGATGAATCTTACACGCAAAATGGGACTAAGTGTTCAGGTACAATTACCGAAATAAGTGATATCATTAAGAATAACCATCGCAGTATTTTACCGTCAATCTCTGGAGTAAATAAAAGAGGTTCTACTAGATCTCCGCATCGCACTCTTAGCAATTCTCGTAAAACTGCTAGTTGGTGTAGTTCCGCACCTATATTGTGCGAAACATCTGAACAGCCCCATTTAACTTATGTACCATCAAATAGTATTGGGCTGACCACTTTATCACTTGAAAGTAACTCTCAGTTGGGTGGTTCGAATACGGTTCGAGAACATTGCACTCCGATACGTGAAGAAGATGACGAAGTAATACGCTCTGGAGAATCTACTTTTAAGACACCTAATCTATTATTTGGGTTGAATCACCGAAGGAAGTCTGAATCGTCAAGTATGCATACAAGTTCAACTCTTTTCACGACATCCAATATTACCCGTGGTGGATTCGCAACTTTGGCTGAATCAGAGTCAACTTCAACCATTAGTCAGTTACCCAACATAAGTGCTCAGCGAAACGATGCTTTACAAAATGGTGGCAGTTCACAATGTACTACATCCAATTTCTCACTTAGCTCTCTCGCAACAAGTTTGCGAGATTCACGCTACATGATCGACATTATACGTGGAACATTTGAATTACAATGTCAGTATAACCGTAGATTTACTAATTCCATTGCTGGAGTTAGCAGTTGTGAATATAATTCTAGCCGAGCTAGTACCTCAACATCTGTTCGTAGCCTCACTGCTATATCAGAAAATTTCCCTATCAACAATCAACTAAAAGAAGATTTTCCTTTACAAGATTCACAAAGACTCCCCCTTCATCATCGTGATTTACTCCATCCATTGGAATCCACCTTAAAAGCTTCTACAAAAAACAATATTTTACAGAATTCCAATATGGTCAAAAATTCTATGAATAGTTGTTTGAATCGTGATTTTCTTGTTACAGGTTCATCTCAGAAAAGTAGAATGAGTTTACCAGCTAGTATAAGTGGCATTACAAACCCAGATGTTGTCTGTTCAGTGAGTCCTGTTTTAGAATCGAATGAAAACAATTTTCCCTCCTCTCTTTCTCTTGAGCATAGTTCACCTGTAAGATTTGACAATCTGCTTACTCATAACCATAGGAATGGGTCTTGTAAATCTGTTAGTCAATCTACAACTTCATTTAAACGTCCTTCACATTTGTCTTCAAGACGAGAATCTTTTAAGAAGTCGAACATCAGCTGTCTTCCTGATCATGGTTGTAGTATAGTTGAAAACATGAATTCAGAAACCCATAATAATAGTAATAATAATAATAACATCAGTCATTATTCTGAGTTGTCAAGTGAATCCGTTAACCAATGGACTCATAAATCAAATACGCCAAATCATAAACAAGTATCATCGTTTATACTAAGCAAACATAGAGCTAGATTAGCATGTTGCTCAGTTTCGTGATAATTACTTTGATTTTGTCTTCCATTATTTACATATATTTTGTATAAATAATTTTCTGTTAGTTTTTAGAATCATTTGTTTAAGTCACCATTGTGTTTTCTCTCTTTATTTTGTCTCTTCTTTCTCTCTTACCCCTGTTCATGATCATAAAATGAGATATTATTAACGTTTTTATGGTATTTATTTCAGTTCATAGTTCTGCTTTGTTTCACTTTCCTGTATGCGCTTAAGTAGGTATTACATATATACTCTGTTTCATTTTCTCTATATATCTAGTCCATTGTTCTTTTTGTTGACTAAGCAGCTTAATTACTACAGTAATCTTACCCTTAACATTATTACTGATTAGTGTTTATGTTACTAAGATCATTCTCTTGCCTATACTCCATCTACTACTACCAGCTAGTCGTACATTGTTTACTCGCACATTTCTAATCAGATATATTTGATCATTCATATTTTAGAAAAAAAAAAAACTGACTATTTTGACTATACACTTTTTATCTTTCTATCTTATATTGATATTCTAAATTGTTTGGGTATTATGATTTTATTATATTTGATTAAAACAAAATTAACCAGTGTCTGTATTTTTGATCTTGGCTTCTTATACTCTGCTTACAAAATTATAACAAGTAGATAAGTGTATAAATACTCATTCTATTTTAAGAAGAAGAAGAAAAAGATTTTCTTTATCTTATTTTTGTTTTCGAAACTTTTACTTAAAAGTATGTTGTGGTATCTGTGCATGGATCATTGATATTCTTGAGACTAATAATAATAATAATAGTAATAATCAAACATTCAATTATACTCTATATCTATGTGTATAGATACACTATTCTACATACTGTCAAACACACTTTCACTTTGTCCTGTCATTTCATTATCTCACCGCTTTTCTCATTGTCTCTGTAAATATAATACATATAGAATGAATATCATTCGCTTCATGACTAAATTATTATGTTTTTCTTTCATTTCTTCCTATTCTTCTTCTTCTTCTTTTTATTGTTGTTTGTCACCAACGCTTTTTTGCTGCATATTATACCTGATTCTGTAAATATTCGCCTATCTATATGTCTATTGTATCCCGGTTAATCTTGTTTTCTTTTTTTTTTTATTTTATTTTGAGCTTGTTTTCCAAAGTGTATGTCTCTTTATTTAATTCTTATGAGTATTTTAATAACATATATATAAATCCATTTGATTTATTATGATAATTTTGTTCTAAAGTTGATTTTATTTGTTGCCAGATTTCCAGTCTTAAATATGGTCTCAATCAATTGGAGATTAATTAATTTGATTGTTTGAAAATCTTATTTACGCCTGTTACTCCTTGTGGAGGAGTATAGGTCTCCCACTAACACTCTCTATTCATCCTTTTCATATCTGCTTCTATTATCCGACGTAATGTGTTCTTTGGTCTTCCTATTTTCTTCTTCCCTTCAGGGTTCCCAGTTAGCGTTTATGATACAGTTTGGTGATTTCCTCAATGTATGTCCTATCCACTCCCAGCGTCTTTTCCGAATTTCTTGTTCATCTGGTTTGTACCCCTGACACAGTAGATTGTTGCTAATGGTATCCGGTCAGCGAACATTGAGTGTCTTGCGTAGACAGTTGTTGATAAATACTTGTAACTTTTTGATGATGGTTGTTGTAGTTCTCCAAGCTTCAGCTCCGTACAGTAGAACTGTCTTGACATTCCTATTGAAGATTCTCGCTTTGATATTGGTTGACAGTTGTTTTGAGTTCCATATGTTCTTCAATTGTAGGAATGCTTTCCTGGCTTTGCTAATCCTCGCCATTACGTCTGCATCTGAACCTCTTTGTTCATGGATGATGCTTCCCAGATATGTGAAGGAATCTACATCTTCCAGAGTCTCGCCATCGAGAGTGATTGGATTGCTGTTCTCCGCTTTGAATTTGAGGACCTTGGTTTTCCCCTTGTGTATGTTGAGGCCTACTGATGTAGAGACTGCTGCCACACTGGCTATCTTTACCTGCATTTGTTCATGTGTATACGATAGGAGGGCTAGGTCATCTGCAAAGTCCAAATCGTCTAATTGGTTCTGAGCTGTCCATTGTATTCCGTGTTTCCCCTCAGATATCGAGGTCTCCATAATCCAGTCGGCCACCAGAAGAAAGAGGAAGGGAGAGAGTAGACAGCCTTGCCTGATTCCGGTCCTTACTTGGAATGCATCTGTCAACTGTCGTCCATGCACAACCTTGCACTGTAGTCTGTCGTATGAGTTCCGGATAGTGTTGACAACATTCTCAGGAACTCCATAGTGTCGAAGAAGTTTCCATACTGTTCTACTATTCCTAACGCTAACCAGAAAAAGTAATTCAAACCATTGTTTAAAAATAGGTTTTAATAAATGATATTCTGGATATAATGATAAATTAATACAGAACGCTGTATTGTATGTAGAAGGTAAAGGTATAGCACTAAATTCTGCGGGAGGATATGGTTTTTAAATTTTTTCGTAAAGGAAATTTATCACTAAAACGTCGATATTTTAAATCAGCAGTTAGGGACCGTTATTTTCCTAATAGGTAAACTAGGATGTCATTTTTGTGAATTAATGGTTTATGTAAGAGTCCCAGGATAGCTACATACTGCAGAAAAAAACAACAGTAAAAATTACTGTGATAGGTCTGACTTATTAGGTTGTATTATTAGAGGATAGTGTAAGTGTAAAATATCTACTAGGGAGGAAGTTTCAATTGTGCGCAGTTATAGTATAAAACAAGATAATGAGTAATAGGACTGTTCGGTAAAAATTACAGGGTTTACATAATGCATATACATAACCGATCGTCCATTTACATCTCGCTGAGTGATTTGCATTTCAAACTTGTTATTAACTGTTCTGCCCGCTCCGTACTTACGATGTACTGAAATTCGTCACTTCGTGTGATGGCTGTGACAACTTCGAGGCTACATTCTACTTACAAGCGATCTTGTGGGTAGCGTCCACTAAATTAGCTATGATCACTTTTAATGTTCTTATAATTCCACTAATCGGATGGAATATAGTTACCAGTGTAAGCATTTTCCAGGTGGTTTAAGAGGAAAGGTAATCATCATCGCAGCCAACAGATAATGGTATTAATCTTATTTCACGGACAAATTACAGCAAATTATCCCATGGTATCGATGATTTATTTGCTAAGTCATTATTATAAACAGAGGGTTTGAAACGAAAGAGTTACGAATGTTATGACTAAATGTTTCTCCATATTGGACTGCATTGGTGGTTGTAATATTTTTAAGGGGAAGTTTAGTTCAAGTATATGGTTCCTCAAAGGGTCGAGACCAAGTCTAGTAAATACGGGTTTATATGTTGAGGTATAGTCATTCCTGGTAATCCAAGGTGTAAACCGCCTTTGGACAGGTTCCAACCTTAGTTCATTCTTAATGTAAACATTACTTAGAATAAAAGTACAATATTCTTAGAGTGATCGGACATTGTTGCGGAGGTCATATTATTTATTTATTTAATTACGCTAACTTGATTCCCAGTATTTATCGAATGTTAACTCTGTAAACTATGCGAGACCAGTGTAGGCTAACAAATATATATATAGACAACTGTCCTTAATTAACGCCCTCAGTATGAGTAGTCCATTTTATAGGAATATTTTTACAATCCCCAAGAAACCAGGATTATGTTATGGCTCATTCTCGCACAAAGTATGTTATTGACTTGGTAACGAAAAGATAAATCGGCCAATGATAGGAAGGCAAATATCAGTGACACTAATACATACGGATTCCCAAGCCATTGGGCCAATAATAAATCTGAATTGTAAAACAGGACTTTTGAGGTTAGTCCCATCAACAGTGTTTATTAAATGAAGACATAGCTACTGGTTTCAGCTTAGTTTGACCTTCAGTTTTAATAAGACCTAAACTCAGTATATACCGGCCCAAATTCCTGTAGAGTAGTTGATTGAAGTAGATAAATTCGAATGGTAGTTAAATTAATAATATTACTAATAGCTAAATGCAGACAACTTAGTACGTGAATTATGAATTCCTGTGGAGTTCATCAATACTAGCAGTGAGACATTAACTTTCGATGATGGTCGTACAATATCACGAGTATAATGAAATTGATAATGTACACCATAATATGTTAGATAAGTGATCGAAAGTTAATATACTTGTCACAAGCCTTTAAAGTCCTGGCTTGGAACTCTTGTAGAACTGTAAATGCCTTCTGTTAATTAATCACAAACTAGATAGAAACAACTATCCAGGAATGTCTGGTTTTTAGTGATTAAATAACTTTAGTTAGCCTATGACGAAAACTATCTCAAAAATTGTTACTCATTAATTATCTGGAAAAGTTGATAGTCAACTCTTTTTCAAGTCTGATTAAATTCTTACCACCTATTGTTGACAGTGGTTCATTTAGTAAAATGTGAATAGTATCTGTTAAGAGCTGGGTAGTGACACTCAGCATCTAGTCAATAGATCGCAGGTTCAAAACCTTCACCACGTCTACTTTAGTTGGAGAACACGGGTGAATATTATCATTAGTTGTTATATATTAAAATTATATCTTCAGCCTCATTGGATAAGCTTGTACTTAGTAAATAAGTTGCCTTATATCTACTAAAGAACTATATACTGTTTATAGCGTGAACAACCAAAATACGACGGTGGTCGGGTACTATGACATCTACTATGTTGTCATTTTCTACTCGTTTTCAACCAGCTATGTGATTATAAATACATGCTATTGCATTTTAATATAAATTATCGAAGTCTTAAATGATTCCCTCTTCATAGAATAACTAATTATCCACAAAAAAACTAATTATTGTCAAGTATTAAGAGTGTAGTTAGCTTGTTGTGATTTGCTGCTCGGAGTGGCTTTTATTGTGCATGATTTGTCATTATTTTCTGTTTAACTAAACATTATTATCATTATTGTTACTGAGGTGTGTGCTACTGATATTGATAAATATAAGTAGTATGTGACACCAATCGAAAGTGGAAACCCTGGCAACAGAAGATTGAGAAGATCGAATTGAAGAGAACGGGAATAGGTAGTGATTAGTATGGAAATAAAAGAACAATGAAGTCCGAGACAACTGATGGAAATTTCGCAAATAAATTATTTACTGTATTATTCTCAGAATTTGCCACGAGTTTCTGGAATTTAACCATTCGTGTCTGTGTTCCCGTTCACTGCACTAATACTACTTATACTGCTATTGTTATTATTACTGTTATTATTGATATGGAAACAAGCACATGATCAGGATTGTAAGGTAAAATGTGTAATTTTTCGAAATCTTGCTCATTTTGTTTTTATGAAATTAATTCCTATGAATTAATAATAACAACTTTAATCTTTAGTAGAACAGTTACATAATGCTTGTTATGGAGATCACTGTTAATTCTGCTTGCAACCTGATCTTAAAGTTAGAATCACTAAGCAACATATACTTCATGTAATTAAATGTTTATGATATATATGGCGAATTTGAGAAAGCTAGCTTAGTTTCAAACTTGGAATTGGATATATTAACCAAATGTTCATTTTTTATCAAGTAGACCTGAATCCTACTGATGTCCAACTGTGATTACAGTTTCCGACTTTAATGAAGTATTCAAATCAGCTAATCGAGAAGTTTTGTGACAGTGCTCGTCATCAAATAACATAAAAAAAGTATATATAAGCCTTGTGAATCCTCTTTACCAAGCACTACTGACCGAATCAGAGTTCATTGCGAACTGTTACCAGAACTGTCACCAAGACATGTTTATGAGGGTTTCCACTGTCATAAATATTTCAGAGATGATTCTTTCGACCCGTAACTTTTTAGAAATATATCTCCTACCAAGAGTTCCATCAATCGAATTATAATATAAAGAAGGGGCAGTCTTGTTTGCTGAAAGCTGACAAAATGCAATTTTTCGATCTCCGTGGGCAACCGTGCAAGCATTTTCGGAATAGGTTTATCTTCTAAATGTAAAATGTTGCTTCAGGAATGGTTCGTGTCAACCCCTGAACTAATGATAGGGAGTGAAGTAGTTGATTGCCTTGACAACCTTATTTATCTTGAAAGTCTTTTCAGTCCGGACGGGCTAGTGTTTGACAAAATTCTGAAAAGGGTTCGAAAAGTTCAGTCGGCCTTTTCCAACTCTCATCACTTGTGGCAAAGGCTAGATCTTCATCTGCCAACAAATGGGCTAGTATACTGCGTAGCTGTCCGTTCCTTATTGCTTAATG